CTGCCTGTACAGCAGCTAGGCTGAGGGCTTTTTCATTTTCTTCTTCCTTTGCTATTCCAGTTCCTCTTGCCTAGGAAAGATTATATGTGAACAAACACAATTCCACATTATTCTGACATCATTCTCCTATTTACCAGTTGCATCTGAGTGAACTGGACTGTTCATTTAAGAGACTGTTGTTTGGGTGTTCTACACATGCAGTCCAATAGAATCCCAACAGTTAGGATGTAATGTTCCTACCTCTCCCATTCCATTCTCTAGACAACGCTGACTTTTCTAAAATACCAGGCTGGCTTCTTCACTCAGTAGCATTTCACCTAGCTTGGCCCCAAACCCCTTTATGATCTGGCCTTGCTGGTTCTCCAGTCTTCTCACCCTCTACTCCATGGCTTAAGCTGTACATCCCGGCCATACTAAAACTGCCTTTGGCTCTTCTCTCTAGGCACAAGCCACACCGTTATTTGTGTTCTTTCCTGGGCACTTTGCTTCCCCTTGCCTGGAATGCCTCTGCCCACTTGGCCTTCCCCATGAACTATTTATCTTCAAAACTCTATTCAAGAGTCACCTCCAGGGGGGCTGGCCCCGTGGCCGAGTGGTTAAGTTTGCGCGCTCCGCTGCAGGCGGCCCAGTGTTTCGTTGGTTCGAATCCTGGGCGCGGACATGGCACTGCTCGTCAGACCACGCTGAGGCAGCGTCCCACATGCCACAACTAGAGGAACCCACAACGAAGAATACACAACTATGTACCGGGGGGCTTTGGGGAGAAAAAGGAAAAAATAAAATCTTTAAAAAAAAAAAAAAAAAAAGAGTCACCTCCAGGTACCCTTCTCTGACACCTTATTCCTCTGAATAAACTGGGTGATTCTGATACCTTCTATTATTGCATGTTTCACAGTGCATTGATTAAATGTTTGCCTGGCACATAGTGCGTGACCAGTAAACATTTGCTGAATTGAACTTGGCCTCTCCTTGATGTGTCCAGAAGTAGGAAGGTTGTGAAAATGCTGTTCTAGGAATTCCCATGGCATTCTAACAGCCTGGAGTAAATAGGGCATTTCAAAAGAAATTATCCATTGGTACCATAACAAAATGTACAAATATCAACTCTCAGGCAACTAATCCAGGCAAAATTCTGAAGCTTGCCTGGGCAAGAGAATGGCCCTAAAGAGAAAGAAAAGACCGAAGAACAAGCCTACATGACTGGAAAGAGCTGCCCTTATGTTTACAGCTAAAATAAAAGACTAAAATGTACTGAGAAGTTGCCTTGGAGATGCCACCCAAACAGAATAAATGCTAAACTTGTAAATGCTATCAACATTGCAACATTAAAAGAAATGACACCTTATCCACCTTACTAATGAAGGCAGTATGAATGCATGAAGCAGATGCAGAATCAACAAAATTGAGCTCTCGTCCTGGGGTCATTCACTAGGTGAGGGAACTTTAAAAAGCAGTTCTATTAATCTTTTCAAAGAATGCCTTTTACAAAACATTTATTAATAAAAATATACATTGAGCACACAACGTCTGAGTTCTGCATCAATTAGTATGGCATGAACAAAACTCAATGGTCCTCATTTTCTTTCTGTAAGACCAAGGTTCCTCTGAGTTCTAACCTTTCATGATGTAATACTCATATCACGGTATTGCATGATACTATGTAATGCAACAGTATTTACAGGCAAAATATTTCCCATGGAAAGATATAAATGCATATTTATTTTGGTGTGTCTTGGACATAGAAACATGTAGATTAAGAATGTGGCTTGGAAATGTGGACCTCTTGTTAAAGATGCCTGTGTACTTTGCCAAGGCAGCAATGCCTAGACATTTTATATTCTTCTATGTCTCAGTTCCCATCTCTAAAAATACAGTCATGACATTTTTCTCTGACCTCTACCCGGGAGTACAGAGAGGAAGGGGGTGATGACGCTCATTAAAGCCATGAACTTCTTGAAAGAGAGAACAAACACTGACTCTAGCTATCGTGTTAGCAACCCTGACACTACTTGGGGCTTTAAAAGTCTAGTTTTATTAGGGGATGAAGATCCCTGTCACCAAGATGCTGTATAATGCCACCCAGCAAACTAGTCCAGCCAAAGCTGAAAGGCATGGCCAATAACTGCAACTCATTTAGAAGGTCTTGAACGCTTCTCACTCCTAGCACTGTATCACCTACTTGAAAAATGTTAGATCAATTTGGTCCTTATCCTAAGGAGCAGTTGATGAGAAATGCTTGTGCCTAGAAAGTTCTGGAAAAACATTTTCAGAAAAATGCATGGAGGAGGGCTCTGCAAGGCTGCATCTGGATCCCTACCCCTTAACTCCTATCAGTGGCCCAGTGGCTAATGCATGGACACTCCCTTTGCAAGCTTATCACAGCAGCTACTTGCCCATCTTCTGGGAGAAAGCATGATTTCTCAATTTGTATAACTATACCCTGATCTCTTCCAGAAAGGCTTGTCATATGCATTTATTTTTAGGGCTGCGATTAGCAGTTTCTCATTGGCCATGGAATTTTTAACAATTACAAAGTGAAAGTTAGAAAAAAAACTAACAATCTCAAGTTGACAATATATTCATTATTTCAGTAAAAAAGAGAAATGTGGGAAAAGACTCTTTTGCCAAGAGGTAGGGCAAAATGGTAAGGTAGATCCCATTTTCTGTGTCCTCTAGTTTCCCTATCATTTGTTTAATGAGAGAGTGCCAATCACCTATTCAGTAAATATTTACTAAATGCCTACTTTGTACCAAGTATTCTGGTTGCCCTGGGGCTACAAACATTATTCCTATTCTCAAAGAGTTTGATAAAGAAAAGAAAGGGAGTAGAAGGAAGAGCATTAAATTAATTAAGCTCCTACTCTGCCAGATGCTTTTCTTGTCAAATCCTCATGATGACTGATGAGAGAAGGTAGGTAAGACTCTCCTCATCTAATGAATGTGAATCCAGGTTCAATAATTTGTCCAGAGTCACACAGTTGAGTAGACTGGTGTTTCCATTAAAATTGGTCTAATTCCAAAATCTCTTTTAAAATTTCTTTTGAAAGCAGAAAAAAGAGGAAAGGAATCACCCATTATTCTACCACTGTGATTAAAAAAACTGTTAATGTTTTGGAGAATTTCCTTCCAATTTTTCCTCTACACATAGGTTAATTTTTGAATTTTTAAAATGTGTTTCACAGTTGTAATCAAAGCATGTTATGCTGCATTTCATTGGAACTATGACACCACTGACTGTGAAATGCTCCATTATTCTATACAATGAAGAAAGAAAAATCATTGCCAATTATGTGATGCCACTGATGGACATATGGTCAGCTTTCAGTGATGTTGAAGTGAAGGTAAAAATCATGTATCTTAGGATCAAGGACCTATTCTGTATTCCACAAAGCCCACACTTACGTTGTCCACCTCCTGCCTGCAGGTGAGGGCGGCTTCACAGCACAGGCAACTTGGATCTCCTCCATATTAGACAAGCTCCTTATCTGGACTGGGAGGCCCCCCTCAGACGGGAGCATGCTGTTTGTTTTTCTCACATAAGCATTGCTTTCACATAGTAGGCACTCAAGAAATATTTCTTGGTTGAATAAATATATAACTAAAGCTTGAGAAGAAATTTACCAACAGAAGAAGGTAAAAATTACCACAGACCCAAAGAATGGTGGAAGCCCAAGTTTAGTTGGGGACAGAAGGTTTGTATGACTACACTCAGGGAATGGGGAGAAGAGATGGATGGAATTTTGAGCCAGAGCCAGTGGCTCTGGGCTTTTCAGGGTCTTTCCCTTCCTCCCTATAGCTGCCACTGTCTCCACATTGTCTCCTCTTTGGCTGTCCAGACCCATACTTTGATGTTCTTATCCAAGCCTAACTCCATAGTGCTGCTTGATTCTTCCATCTCAGGAAGTTATTCATACTCAGCTGGAATACTGATTTAGATTTCTTTGGGGATACCATCCATTAATTTCAAGTAATAACTCACATGGAGCAAATTCAGGAATCAGCAAGAGGCAGATGGAGGAGAATCATAGCTTTCAGAAGGAGCTAAAACACTCAAACTAAATGGACAATATCCCTTCTACTTACATAGAAGTTCTCACTGCCCCCAAGAAGTAAAAGGCCATGTGTAGTTTGAGTCTATATGATTTGGCAATTTGACTTTCTTTGGATGTTCACTAACATATCTGCCCAGGTCAGCAAAATGAGTTTAAATAAAGAAAATAAATTAAGCCAGACTTAGTTGTCCATGCATATTCTGAGTTAAACACAAGATTTGCATCATGATTTCTCTTGTCTCCCTCCCTCCTTTTCTTCCTCCACGCACCTAACAAATATCTATGTGTCTTTACAACATGTGAAGAACTGTGCTAAGTTCTCTAAGGGAAATGACAACGGGCCAGAAAATTCTGACCTCAGAAAGAAGTTTACACATTAATATTAAAGACAAGTTTTACTTATGGAGAAGTACATTACAAGGTAGAGAGAGCATAAGTACTATCAAAGAGATACAGGTGATGTGCAATCAGAGTTTAGAGGTAGGGGATCAGGAAAGGCTTCAGAGAGGACATGTCATTTCACTTGGGCCTTGAAGGATGGAGAGTATCTGGGCATATGGGAATGGGGGCAAAGACCTATGAGAGGAAAGGTATGCATGGGCAAAAGAATTCCTGTTATTCTCTTCCATATGACTGTTCACCGTTTAGGAAACAAGATGCTGTTGCTAGGGCCTGTCCATGAGCTGTCCTGGGTCAATGAATGGATCATCACCTTAGGCTGACCACTTTGGAGTGTCACAAGTCGTAGCATCTTAGAGTCAAAGCCAAGAAAACACTGTAAGATTTCCTGCTGATTAAGTGTGAAATTTTAGAGCAAAGTCATAAAAGCCAAATAATGGTGTATAACAGAACATTTGAAATCCACAACTGGTAACTAAGACTCTTGATTAAAAGCAACAGCACAACATCACTTTTTAAAACTCAAGGGACTGACAGCTCCTCACTCACCATGGACATGGATTCCATTTGGTTGAAATGAAGAGTTTGTTTCTGGCTGATAAGACTTCAGGTGTGATCCTGACGGCTGCTGGGTATGGGGAGGCTGTGTTCTCTGCATTATTGAAGAAGGAGCTGGAACTCTCCGGGGGCTGATGTGGTGAGGAGATGGAGCAGAAGGTGCAAACCTGAGAAAACAATTATAAAAGGCAACATGAAGGAGAAAAAACAGCAGGAGCAAAGACAAACTCTGCAAAGCCCAGTTCTAATTTCCCATTCTGGCTATATAGGAGTATGACCAAAGCTCTTTTAAGAAAAATCTTTAAGACTTTTTTCTCCCATTTTTAACCACTGACTTCTCAATTGAGATATTGAGGGAATAAAAGAGATCAACAAAGGGGAAATCTAGTCACAGTTTGGATTTGTCAAGCTTCTTAAAATGCGTTTTAAATACTCTGGGTTTAGTGAAATTCAAAGCACATCTTTTTCCAGACCCCTTTTCTGCTAATTTTTAAATCTGTTTGCATTTTAGGGGAAATTTGATCCGTATGTTTCTGATTCATTTACACTTAGCTCATAAACATTTTGTTCTGTAAGACATATCTGAGGTCCAAGAAGTGTTACAAGTCTTTATTATAAGCCTCTCTAATCCTATTCTTTTTAAACAATACATTTTCTTTTGCCAAGAATAAATTAACTTAAACCTCAAAGGTCAAGTGTGGTTTGAAACCCAGAACCCAAGAGATCTGCGTGGATTCTGTGCTTGGCAAAGAACACTGCCCAGGGTGTAACAGGAATACGATGTGGGACATCTTTTGCAGTCACATGTGCCAATCACAATAACACTTTCGGTAGTTTCTGAAGGGGGACATACAGGTGTTTAAATAAGGTGACACCGTCAACTAACCAGAGATATAAGATAGATAACTGTCCACTGATCTCCTAATTCTAAGGGAAAATTGTTAGGATCTGACTCACTAGGTTTAAAATAACAATTTATAATTTCTAACATTGAAGGGAAAGTGTACTTGTGAGAAAAAGGCTAAAGTTCAGCAATGTCCATAGGCTTCGTAGTGATACTTGATTTGCCAGTTTAGTAGAGGGCTGGCACAAACGTGGTTGAGAAAGGAGTAGAGACTCTATCAATGCAGTGAATGAAGCAGCAAAATAATTCGGGGGACAAATGTCTTAGTAATGAATTGTTTAGTTTCCCCAAAAAGGCCCAGTAAGTTGAAAACTTTCAATTGCTTGTTCTTATACCATTTAGGAAGACAGGCTTTATCTTACACTAATGTGTAGAAGCCACTATCTGTTTATACCACTCACTTCACAGGAACAAGCCACTTCACTTTGCTGTGCTTTGTGTAGGCCCGTAGACGGCACAAAGGGAGGATGAACCAGTCAAGTTTATAAAGTAATTCACAATGCTCTGACTCAGAATATTTAATAAGACAGAGCTTCTACACCGGTATTGCAGCAGTAAGAAACCACGGGATGAAATCCCATGCTCTTTGTGCTTTCCCCTTACTGATGTATGGTGAGGCTGTGTAAGAGGGTGAGGTAGGAACCAAGAAGGAAGGATTTGGACTAGTTAACCCCTGGAGAAGAGGAGTCAGAGGAGGCTTAAACAATCTTGCTGGGTTAAGATGTCTGCTTAATCAATAATTTACATTCTCACTCTGTTGAAAGAGAATAGTAACTGTGTGTCCTGTGCTGGGTAAATATACATTTTCCAAGCATATCATCTTAATTGGAATTAGCCTGAAAAGACGTGCTGAATGTCCTTGAGAGAAAACACAACGAAGGAATCCTGGCACTGCCCTGAGAACATCCAGTAAAAACTCATATGCCAGGATTCCTCATATGGAGGCTATTTTCTTGGGGAACATGTCCTTAATGTGTCTCGCAAGCTGCTCTGAGGTTGCGGGAAAGGGATGAGGAACTATGGGATCACAGACCTTAGGGCTACCAGGAGTCCACTCTACTACTCAACGCCGAAATCCTGTCGGCAGGAGACCCCCAGGGAGGGAGGATTTGAATTGTAAGGCAGCCTATGTTACTGCTAAGTAGCCATCACTGGCATCACAATTCTGTTTTTTGGGCAAAGCAGTAGGATCCTTTGACTGGCTTCCTAATTCTATTTCTTCATTTGGGAAAAAAGGATGTAACATGCTCTAGATGGTTTTCCTGCCTTTTCTTCTGGTATTTCTGCCATCTTTCCTTTCTATTGGGGACTAATGGGGCAGAGTTGTGTGGAATGGGGCATGTTGTAGTATTTAGAAGTATGACATCATTGGCTTGACAGAGGAGAACCATTTTGTTTCACAATTCCCCACTCCCACAGCACAGCAAGTCTGCCTCATAAACAAGGATTTGATTAACAAAGAGTAGAAAAGGTGGATGGGGGAGGGGAAGGACGCAAAGATTATAATATAAAACCTTATTTTTTATAATTTGGGAGGATATGGCTATGGAGTGAATTATGGTCACTACCTACAAAAAAGGGGAAGAATTCAACCAACTAAAAGAATAGAAATCATTTGAGCATTTTAGGAGTCATCTGGAATATACATTCTATATAATAGACTCTACAATCTATATATATATTATATCTCCACACATCAATTATTTATCTATGTATCTACCTATCTAGAGAGTCTACATAATTGCACGCTAATTACAAATCATTTTTATCTATTCATTCACGCATTCAAACCCTGGCCATGCTCTCTTGACTACCATGTATTACTTAATGTAACAGCAATGTTGAACAACGAAAAAAAATGTGGTATGATACACACCAAGGTTTTAGCATTACTTATCTCAGAAATCTGAGGTGAATGAAATAATGCCTCCTAAAGCCTTCAATAATGCCTACTCTACATTTTGCTTTTTGCTAATTCACACTGGATTTTTCTCCATGTTATTCAAATAAATGACATTATATGGTATAAAGTAAATATAATTTCAAAATATAGCATATCACCCCATATAAAGTATTAATAAAAATTTAAATATGAATTATTCTACGTGAAATAAATGTACACCTAAAGTGCTCTTTGATTTGGAAAGAAGAGAATTAGTACATAAATTGTAACTTTTACATGTATAGAGAAAAGATCAAAAGTGACAAGATGTGATCTTGATTATCCAGACAACTGCTAGGAACGAGTAAATAAATAAGAATTCAGCACTAAAAGGTCCAGCGTAAGAAGTGAGTGTATAAGTGTGATTTTCAAGGACAGCACATAGAATTAATTTCATACTGCCTAGAAACATTACACGGTATTTTATCAAAAAATCTCTCACATTCTCACTGTTAATTGAAACAATTTTTATAAACTTGGTTACTTGTTAACCTGCTCATAGTAGACTAGAAATAGCAAATTAAATTCAGGGGTGAGGGGGCAAGAGAGGAGTGGAGAAGGTGGAAGAGAGTCCTACCGTCAGAGGCAAGGCCCTGGGAGCATCTGAAAACAATCACTGACCACTCACAGCAAGAGGGATGCCAGAATGTTATTTAAAAAGCCAAAAGGACTCAAGAAATTTGAGTAGTTTGCAGCCATTTACTACAGAAGCAAGTAAACAAACAAAAAAGATGCACACTTAAACAGAAGCTCACTAAGCAAAATGAAAAACATTCTTATTGTTGAAGGTGGGGGGCGGTCAGAACCCCATCATCTTAGTGTCCTCACCTATTTTCCAACCTTCTTTCTTTAACATGCACACCAAAATAAATATGATCTGAATATGCTGCCCAAAACAGTTAAAGAGATTTCTTTTTAATCCAAAGAAGGTGAATTAAAAATTTTTGAAGCTAAAATAAATACACAAAAAATTTTGATGCTGAGTATAAATTGCAGTGATTTACAATTTTTCTCCTGTGGAATATCTCATTCCCCCATTACGTCAGGACAAGATGACATCACTTTAATTTACTCTGAGTTACAGCAGTGCCCAAGAGCCAGAAGAGAGAACTTCCAAAATCTTTTCTAGGACCAACCGTGTCCCCCAGCTGCTGATCTGCAGTTGACATTTCACAGATTTCATTTGGCATAGCTTACCAGTCTCTTCTTTGGCCTTTTATACTTCTTTGAAACAATAGAAGATTGTTATGTAAATATGCACACAACAGACTAGAATTAAAAGAAAAAAAAAAATGACTGCTTACCAGAAACAGATCACACAAAAGCAAACAGAGAATTGAGTCAACCATTTCCATTCATTCAGTAGAAGAGTTTATATAACCTTAGCATGAGCCATGGTTCAATGGTTTGCCCAAAAAAAAAAAGGAGGGAAATAGGTTTTAAAGGGCTCATAAAAGATGTTCTGGGAAAAAAAAACTTAAAAAGGTTTCTGCAAATATTTATCTATACACACCTTAGAAAATGTCTGATTATTTGAAAGTATTTACTTGGTTACGCTCCTTCCCTTCTGTGGCCTACTCCCACCCTCTGTTCACACTGAGCTTCCCAACCTTACAGTGAGGTGGGCCGGAAGCAAAGAGGACATCTTTCCTGTAAACGCAGTACTCAATCTTCGAATGTTTCATAGAACAGCAGGCCCCAATTGAGACGTAGAATTGGTGAGGTTCATGAGCAGAAAAACTGCAAATGGCAGGAAAAGCAGATGGATGTCGTAGAAAACAGATGGACTAGAAGTCAGACCCACCTGGGCTTGGATTCTGGCTCCGTCTCTACTAGCTGGGTAATCTTGAATAAATTCTCTGACTTCTCTCAGCCTCAATTTCAAGTGTAAAATAAAGATAATCTTGACTCTAACTAGGCATTGTAAAATCTGAGAAAAGATATTTATTCATTCAAGAGATATTTATTGAGCACTGACCAAGTGTGTCGCACTGTTCTAAGCATTGGGTTAGAGCAACACGACATATACCCCTGTCTTTGTGGAAGCTATATTTTAGTGAGGGGAGGCAGGCAATGAACAAATTTAAGTAAGCAAATTATGTATTGGGCCAGAGAAAATGAGTACTAAAGGAGAAAAATAAGGTGTGGAGGTGGAATATGAACAACTTTAAATTGGGAAGTCACAGATATCAAAGGACTTTAGACAATGAATATCTGATACCTTTTGATAATGATTACATGTTTATGGAATGATTGCTACAAATAGAATGTACATTTAAGGTAATCCTGACATTTACATGTACCCAGTGCTTGAGAACTAT